ACTATTAATTTGTACAGCTTCTGTTCTGAACATGTGATATATGTTTATGTTAAAGCTGCACTAACTGACTTTATTTTTGTATTCATTACGAAAATGCTATCCATGTCCATGTAGTGCATTGGGATATACGTCCTTTTGACGAAAAAGTAGCGCAGATTTGTGCTGGCGTGACATTATATTTTAGATCGAGTTTTGATGAAACAAGGAAGAGAATGTGTTTCGGGTCGCAGATTGTGACCAATCACCGCGGACCACTGGCCCCCACTTTTGTGAGAAATCTACAGGTCCGTTAGCACAGACAGCTGAGTTAGCACAACAAGCAGCGGAGCTAACCTGAAACTTCCTTGTCTTCGTCACCGGTTACTGCTTACTCAGTGCGACAGCCATCCAAAAGAAAGTCTCGTTCCTCCGCGCTTCCCGGTTCTATCGTTCTATGGTCACGCCATCCACGTGCAAATCCATATCCATGTATTATCCATATTGGGAGACGCTAGCTTCGTCCCAACAGTGGGTGTGTGTGGGGGGTGATAGCTTCGTGGGTGCGGGGAGGGGAGCAGAAAGAGAGAGGCCAGCGAGTCCACGGCTTCAAAATCCCAAAGTCAGTTAGTGCAGCTTTAAGTGATTCTTCAAAAAGGTGTGGTGTTATGTTAACACATTAGTATTGTTTCTTTCCCTAAGGTTAGTGAGACAAGCAAACCCGGGTTTGTCTGTTTGGTTATGTTGCCAAAATGGGTCAAATAGTTACTGCAGATATGTATCTGTATATGAGAATTTCGGAAAGTCATGCAAATGGGACAGTATACATTATCGTCTGGATCCTTTCGAAGGCGGTTTATGCTCTATACTGGACCATGACTATCAGGACTGCAGGAGACTCTTGTGTGCTCTGGAGAGTAGCTTCAGGGCCAGACTGGTCCACCCTTGCTGTGTGAAGGAGAGGTTCCACATGTCTTTCCTTCTTGCTGCTGTCAGACTGTTTAACAATCAATGATGAACACTGCCAACCTGACCTCATATGTGCATCTGTGCCATAATATGAAATATCTGTAGATGTCTAAAACAAGCATATATATACGTTTATACTTTGCTTATTTATTAGGCTAATAATAGTGATTTTTTACCTAATAAATAGCAGTCATATTAATTTAAATATATAGGGTTGCGCTATACTTGATATTCTCTCATATTGTGGGCTCCTCATTCCTACTGTTCTCTAATTTGTGACCTAATAATGACATTTCTCCACTGTGGAAAGAATAAAGGATCTTTAAATCTCGGAAAGTGCTTTTAACACTAGGGTAATTCAATCAAACTCAACATACATGGTCCCTAATTTGTCAATGTTGGATGATAATTTGATTCTATTTAATGGGACTTTATTTAATAGACATGAGATTAAAAACACAAGATAAACATGTCTAAACTATGAGGACATTTGAAAACTATAAGAGATGAAAAAGAGGAAATGTGATTGCTACGCTATCTTTAAATATTTACAATGGCTTTAGCCGTAGCATGTGAGCAATAATTATCAACACTATAAACAAATAAGGGCTTCATTAGACACTCTATTGAGTCATATTAGAACTTAGAACAACTTAAGGATCATATCTTCATACTATTTAAGGCACTATGATTATTTATTATTGTTATGCAATTTGTGATCTTGATGTTTATGATTTAATGCTTTGTTTGATATGCTCTTTGTGTATAACTGAAATTTCCCCACAGTGGGAGGAATAAAGGATCTCTTAATCTTAAAAGCGCTCTACAAATAGGTTGATTGATAAAGTTTATTAATCTGTATATTTAGTCACTCCCCAAAAGTGAGAGTAGTCCTGAACACAGTCAGACAGTGTGCCCTATTTGTAAATCTAACTAAAATTGAAAACAGTCATAGATATTGAGAGATGTGTTGCTCAAATCCCATATTAAACATAGTTGGTCTATATTTGCCAAAGGCTCTGCTGCAGTGAAATGTCGAGTGGTGCGTGCGTGAATCAAAAACACAGGCCACAAACGGAGAATTGTAACAGCTTGTATTTGTGCTCTGTTCTCATGCCGAGAAAATTCAACGGGGGAGGCAAAAAAATGTGCCCAAAACTGACATGGAGGTCAAAAGTTCAAAAGAAAACAATTCAAAAAATAAAATCATCATTATAGCCCCCCGTAACCCCCCTCCCTCCCATCCACACAGGAGTCACTCTCAGTGCCAGTAAGGAATCACAATGGAAATCAAACAGCATAGTCTTAAAAAAACTATGTACAAACCAAACGAGCGGTAAAGAAATCAGCATTGTGTGTGTTTGTCAGTGTGAGGCGGCGCGCTGCAGCCTCTATGCCCTTCTGTACAATGACACTAATTACAACAGTAGAAATTCAGATATGCTGCGTCTCCAGTGAGAAACAGCATGGCAGTCGTGTGGATCTCTTGAATGAGGGACGAACACAAGATTTCAATAAGGATAAGTGAAAAAAAAAAAAGACAAAATATCAAGTCTACACCATGAGTATTTCATTCCAGCAGAAGAAAAGTATAGATACAAGTGGAGATTTGGTGTGTGTGTTTGGCTCCCGCTATAACCGTAGCTCCAGCCCATCACCAAATCCAAGTTTGTTACAGCTCAGTCATTTTTTTTTATATTTCATTACACCCAAGGCAGAATCAAAGTTACTAAAACTTAAGACTTTTACAGTTACAGTGACAAAAACAGTTTAAGAGACCCACAATTTAAGTTGGACTGCAAAATAAAAAATAAAAAACAACCTTTTTTCTATTTTTGTAAAATGCCCAGGCATTCTCCAATATTACAAATACTGGTATACTTTTACAGTAAACAAGAAAAATGTAATATATATTCATATATATATTTATATTTATACCAAAACCCCTTCACCAAATAAAAAAAGAAGGAAAAACAATTGTACACATCGCCACTATGGCATTCAGAAGCAAACCTGAAAAAGAATTTTAAAACACACATACACGCAAATATTATTTTACCCTTGTACTTGTCAATACTGTAAACGTATTCAGATGGAGTGCACCATGTCATTCTTTTAAAGTTTAGCTTGTTCCTGATTTGTGTCCAGTCTCTGAGTTTAGCGTGGCTCTGACCACTGTTCACTGAGGGACGATGACGTGACGAATTGGATAAATATCTATAAATAGGTTTGTGCCTTTATATGTACATCCCACATATATACACACAGACATATTGTGCTCCTCTCCTGAACTAACACCAGTCTGAGCTAATCCCCAAATGTCAGATTCAAGTATCAATTGGACAACAACATTATGATCATTAAATTTGATTCTGAGATAATAAATATCGATCAATATCCAAGGCACACTCATGTCAAATTGAATGGCAGTACAAAAACTGTTCCAAATAAATAGTTTAGTGACTTTAGTCTAACTTTTATAGTGCCAGCGGTGCACTAGTGTCCTGGGAGCTCTCCACTCTCCATGTGTGGCAGTGTTGGGAGCAACTCTTTACAAAAGTTACTGGTTACTGAAGTATATTCCTTTTGGAAATGACTGTAATGAAAATTGTCCCAGAAATTGGTTATTTGTTAAATATTACAAGTTAGAGTACCTTGCATGTTTTACTTGAATTGCACATTTAACTGGCAGTTAGATCTCCCCCTGTTTACAATTTATTTCAGAAAATAAACCAGCATATTATAGCTAACCAAACAAACAGTGTTGTGTGTCATACAGTAATATTGTATTGCAAGGATATTATTATTTTTTGCTTGTAACTAGTCATTTATAATATTGTTTTTTGAGAAACTTGCCCAACACTGCTGTGCATGAGTCTATGTGTGTGTGTGCGAGCATGAGCCTGTGTGTGTGTGTGAGTATGTGTGTATGTGTGCATGAGTCTGTGTGTATGTGTGTGTAAGTGCCACTCTGAGGGTCTCTGTGTGAAGTCAAACTATAAGTGCTGGGGGCGGGGCCAGAAAGAGTTAAATGAGCATGATGCTGAAGAGTCTTTTTAAGCACAGAATTGTTCTATCCACAACAAATTTTTCATCATACTCATTTTAGAAATTCACCATAACGATATATTATATGTCAGAATGTACTACAAATACCTTAAAATAATTTAAGAAGGAAATGCATAGGGGATAGATGTGTTTATATATTAACCAAAATTTCTAGATTGACATTGAATCATTTACTAGAGAAATGCATTGTGCATTTTTGACATAGCATTAAATACGTAGGAACTGAACGAGCTCGCCCTGAGATGTCCTGCTCTTGTGGGATCTTAAACACGTCATGGCTTCATGTGGACTTTGCTCCTCTAAAGTCTATGGCTTCATGTGACGGATGCAGATGAAGAAAAATTAAAGGAAAGAACGTAAAGTGTGGAGTGGATCAGAGACTCGGGACTGGACTGATCTGATTCACTGTGATCACGACACTCAGTGCTACATTTCCAATTCTACTGTCGTCTTTTAGAGTCCGTTCATGCTACGATGCCAAAGGATTGTTGTCCGCGTCACACAAAATATACTACTCTACCATTCTCAGTTAAAACGCACTTTCATATCCAAGATTGAAATCAGCTTCTCTTCAACAAATCACACATTTAGCTTAATATACATTTCCTACAAGCAGCGGCCAAATGAAATCTATCATTTTTAAAAAACTCTCAGGATATTGTGGGTATTTTTGAAAAGCAAACTCAAGGTAAAATAATATAAAATAAAAACAAAAATGCAGAAATAAAAAGTACCTGCACATGCCAGAGTACAAAATCCAATAAATACAGAAATTATTGCACAGTTAAAGGCTCCACAAATGTTTGAACTCAACTGACTGATTGTTTAAAAGAAACGCCACATGAGGCAGTTTAGACAGCTTCAGTTGTGTTCAATGTTTTCACGTTTTTCTCAGTTGGCAGTTTCTTAGGCAAAAACACAAATGAACCTAAAAGTTCAAAAAAGAGTATCCAGCTCCTTTGTGAGTCTGTAAGTCTGTGGCAGGGTTAGGCTCGCTCCGCCTGCTCGATTTTGACCTCGTTGGTCATCAAATGTTCCCCGTGCCACTTCTTCATGTGTTTCTCAAGCGTGCTGTAGACGCTGAACGGCATCTGGCAGATGTCACAGCGGTACACCTCCTTGCCGTGCTGCCCGTGCGTTTTCATGTGGCGCGTGAGCTTTGAGCTCTGTGCGCACGCGTAGTTACACAGCTCACATTTGTACGGACGCTCGCCCGTGTGGCTGCGCCGGTGCACCGTCAGGTTACTACAGTTTTTAAACACTTTGCCACAGTATTCGCACGTGTCACTCCTCTTACTGTCCTTGGAACTGGGACGTCCCGGACCCCCCAGGTGAGGAGTGCTGCCCCCACTGGCTGTACCGCTTCGACCAGACAGACCCCCGTCCAGCAAGTCTCCGGGGGGCGTGGAGAAGCGCAGGCTGCCGTTTTCCGACGAGTGCTCTGAGGACGTGGCAAAGGGTGATTGTCTGGAGTCAGTGAAGCCTAGAAAAGGGTCTTTGATGAAGTGTCGAGAGGCTGCGTAGCCCACTAGCCACTGGGAGTACACGTTCTCCGATGGGATGTGGGGCGTAGGGGGGATGTCCAAGTCCTTCTCGATCTTTATCCTTTTGTTGGAGTTGTTGGACAGACTAGGGCTGGTGATGGGCGTGGGTTTGCGGGGAAACAGGCCTGAGAAAGAGTCACCAGAACCACAGTTCCGGCCGTTGATGGTGGTCCTCTCCTCAGGCTGGTGGTGATGAAGGTCCATCACAGCCACTGAGTCCTCATCTACAATGTCCCGCGGACCTTCAGAATTCCTCTTGGAGAAGAGCATTCGTTTACGATTGTCGACTATTAGGTTGTTGTAGGGCTGAATGGAGTTAAGGCCTCCCACCTCCACCATTTTCTCCAGAGCCAGAGCATTCTTCTCGTCAGCGGCTTTGGGACCGTTCTCTCGGTTCCTGAAGAACTCAGCCTCTATGCTGAAGTTGGACTCTGGTCGACTCTCATTCTCCAACTCCTCTTCCTCCTCCTCCTCCTCTTCCTCCTCATTGCCCTCTCCCTGAAAGTCCCCATCACGGTTCTTCATACCCTCTCCAGTGACGTCGCTAGTGCCTGGCTCAGGGGAGCTAGTGGTGGACAGTCCATCGTCAGAGCGTCCCGTCAGAGAGCCTGCCTTGTGCATGTGGGTCTTCATGTGGCGCTTGAGCTTGGAGGCCTGGGAGCAGGCGTGGTCGCACAGCTGGCACTTGTATGGTTTCTCTCCAGTATGGCTCCGGCGGTGAACTACCAGGTTACTCTGGAACTTGAAGGTTTTTCCGCAGAATTCACAGGACTTGACCTTGTTCTGTGTCTGAGGAGGGGTGGTGCTGTTGGGGGGCATGGGTGGGAGGGGAGGGGTACTCAGAAAAGGAGACTTGGGGCCGGGCTGGAAGGGGCTGGGGTTAAGCAGTCGGTGCATAGGGTTGGCCCGGCTGGGAGACAGGGGGGGCGTGGTGTTGTTGTTGTTCCCTGCTAACTCTCGGAGGCGTCGGGAGAAGTCCATGGATTGGGATTCCATTGCCATGGGCGTGAGGCGCATCACCCGCTCGAAGGCACTGGGGTGCTGCGAGATGAGCCCCATCTCCTCTGCGCTCAGCCGCTCCAGCCGGTGGGGGTCCAGGTGGTGGCGCGGAGGCGGGCTGACAAAGGGAGGGGTGTTGGGCAGCCGGTTCTCTCCAAACCCCGGCGGAGGCTCCCGTAACAGGGGCCCCGCCATACGCAGCAGGTGGAACGGGTTGTTGTCGCCCAGGAAGTTGGTGAGGGGAGACTGCGGGATGGCGTCGTTGGGCATGGGCGGAGGCATGGTGATGCGGGGGGTGAGGGCGGCACTGGACGGGTTGGACTCCAGGTAGATGCGGATGCCGTGAGTGTTCTGCGCATGCTGCAGCAGGAACCAGGCGCTGGGGAAGGGCTGCTTACAACTGGTGCAGATGTAACTGGAGGGCTCATCTCTGCCGCCTGCCACACAAACACAAGACACACATTTAGTTTAGGGAAAAGCAGGCTAAACAGCAGAACATTTAGAGTGTGTAAAGTGTGTAACTTGTTCTTGGGCAAACGGAGACGTGATAAGCGGCGCAGCCTCATCATGTTGTCACAAACGGCTCTAGACTTATCACACTTGTGACAGGAGTGAATGTGCCACCGTGTTTGAGGCCTCATCCTTCACACACTCACACATTTCTCTTTTATTTCTTTCTGTAAACTGCTTATTTTCTTGCGCAATCAAGAAGTGTGTTTGGCCTTAATGATTTTAAATAGAGAGGATGGTCAAAGTGTAGGTTGTCCGAGGTTTATTATTATGAAATGATCAGTGTGTAAAAATAATACAACGCTAGGATCATATCGGAAACAAGCCCAATTCAAAAACACTGTGACATTCATATGTTGAAGTAGCATTCCCAAAACGTTTTTAGTTTATTTATGCATTTATTAACATTTGGTCATCTCTGGTCATCGCGCCCCCTATAGACTTTTGAGTTATCATTGCTTTTCCTCTCTTCAAAATGTTTGATTCTCTTGAATCAACAATTTTGTTAAGTCCTCTGAGACAACTGCTGTTGTGATTTTGGGTTATACAATAATACATTGAATCAAATTACAACCAAAAGCTAAACAAAAAAGGCGGCAAAAAAACAAAAATATTTAGATCAAAGGGTAGATATTGAATAACTCCCTCAAAAAATAGACATATCTTTTCATTACAGCTGTCCTTAAGAAAATAAATATTAGGGAAAACAATTACAGCAATTTGTAGTTCAAATAATAATGCAAAAAAATTAATCTATAAAACACAACTGCAATTACTTAACTCAAATAGTTAATGCATGATGTTTCAATAATTAATGATCTAATTAATACGCCGGTTATTAAAAATGCATCTGCATTTATTATTCAGCAAGAATTTACCTAAGCTCAACAGCATTCAAAGCAACAAATATGGTGTTGGTCTTTAAGTGGGATCATGTCCGCGGCTGCTAACCCTGCCTCACATGAGAAGTAGGGAAATAGGTGAAACACATTTTTTTGTTAATTGAATTTGTGCTGAGCAGAAAGAGCACGAGGCCGACCAGCTGTTCTGCTGTAAAAGCCTTTGACATAATTACATTGGACAGCGTTCGCACCATAACACATCTATATGCTTTGTCTGCACTTTCCTGACCGTCCCCTCAAAAGCTGTGTCTTTAGATTTTCTACTGTTCATTTGTTTTACTAGAATACATAGAAATAATGATGACATACAGGGTTTAAAATAAAAACATACTGGGTTTAAACTGCATTAGTGACCATAGTGTGAACATAGGTTTTGATAATCGCTGCACATAAATCAATATTATTAGAGAGTGCAGAAAAGATAGACAGAACAGACTATATTGCCTATTAACTATTGCCCTATAACCAAAAATTACCTAAACCAACCAAAAATATAATCAAATATTATATATCTAGTGGCTGATATTTAATTTGTATACAAATAGTATTAATATTGTTATTGCAGTGTGCCTCAACTTTTAAAATGTATTAACAATGTGAAAATATTTTTTTGTAAACAATTCACGTTGAGACAAGTTACTAATAATGTGTGTTTATTATTGAGTGAATTATTTACTGATCACTAATAATATAAAGAATAGTTTAATTGGTTGACTAGGTTTAAAAACACTACTATTAATTAGATTATTACTAATAATATTTGTTGCAGCTCCACAAAACGTTTCTTCATTTAATTCAATTAATTTTCATTTTTTTCTAAATTATCAACACAGTCCTTCCATTTCACCCACAATCAAGACTTTTTTGCCAATAGCCGATAGTCAAACTCAAAAGCAGTGGATAGAAAAAAAATAATTTACCTGCAATACAAAAATGCAGGAGCAAAAATAAACATACAAAAATAAAATAAGAGGTGATTTTTGTGTGTATTCGTAATGCAATAAATAGGTCTGTTTTTTGGTGTTTTTTGGGCCAGTGCAGTGTGCAGGAGGAGCTCCCGAGGGAAGGGGGAGTCCGCACGCAGATGGCAAATAAAGTATGCAGCCCGAGGCTACAGCACATTATGCTAATTCTAATGTCAGCTGTACTTTAATATACGGCTCTATTTAATCACCCCATTATTTCCCATTTCCATATGAAAAAACACAGCCTTCGAAGAGTGCGAGGAGAGACAGAGGCTGAGGAGGGAGAGGGGGGAGGGGCAAGGAGGGCAGAGCAAAAACAAGAGGCCATCGAGCAAAAAAACAGTGTTGCTATGTTTGGTGGACGGTTCAATGTGACGGAATATTATGTAAGTACTTAAAAACTGTAATGAAATCCATCAAATTTGCAGTTCCTTGCTCTCAAAACAGTTCTATTTGGCTATTTTTGGCCTCTGTCACATCTCTGATCTCTTTGATCAGCTTTTTCAGACAGACAAGTGCAAAAGAGAGGACCACCCTCATTTAAGCCAATCAGATCTCATCCCAAAGCCTCAAATATTGACTCACAAATAAATACAAATCTATAATGAAATTACTGAGGTCGAGATCTAGAGAGATCTGTTTGTTTACAATGAGTTTACTTTATGTTCCTGCTGCTGAACACTGTGCATTGCCACACTGACATTTCAGGAGGAATAAATGTTTTCTTATCTTGTTCAAAATAGTTATAAATGGATTAGGGTAAGTATTAAAATAGTATTGTTGCCATGTATTTATTGAGTTGGAAAGTCCTTACATTGTTACATAGCGGGGAACTGAAATCCCATATTTCTTTAGTTTTATCGCACAAAATTGTTCCCTCGTCAAAAATGCCAACTGCATTCTATAAATTTACAGTAGGAGTTTGCCCTCTTGACAGACAAATGCCTACACTTTTTAAATATATCACTATCTTTATTCATGTCTAATTCATACATACTGTGAAGTCCTACTGATCGCCCTTATGGAATACTGTAAAGAAAATTATTGAACGTTGGTGGGATTTGACCATTGACAACAAAAATCTATGTGTTTTTCTTCCATGTGTCTGTATGGGCTCACAACTGTGTACTGCTATGCTTTTATCATTCCTATGGCCATGTTTACACAAAGCCTATTCTCAAATCACAAGGCAAAATAAGCCCACACTGTATATACAGAAAATGTGGACAAAATGATTGGTAGTGTAAGCAAAGTTATAAATGTAAACTTTGTATTTGTATGAGTGCTTCATTTATTCCTACTGTTTTGTTATGAGCGTGGCAGTTCTGACATTTCCCATTTGTGGCATGAATACAGGTTTTCTTCATTTAAAGAAGGGTTCATTTTGGAGGATCATAAGGAGCGGGATGACTAATGTCCGTAAATGTTAATAAATGTCCATAAATATCCCGGATCATCGTCCTTAAAAAGATGTGAGAAATCTTGGGGGGGTTCCATGTTGAGAGAAGGAACCACTCCCACGGACAGACAAGCTATGGACTCAGGACTCCAGCTTTAGAACCAGGACGGAGGCTGGAAGTGGACCAAAGATCAAAATTTCCCAAGTTCGAATCTCAGTCGAAACAGGGCCTTTCTGAGTGGAGTTTACACCTTCTCCCCGCGTCTGTGTTGGTTTCCTCCAGGTACTACGCTTTCCCCTACCACTAAAAACATGTACAATAGTTCAGGGTGAAAGAGTGTGTGGTTGTGAGTGTGACTGTGGGACGACGGATGGAAATCAGCCCAAGGTACAATCTGGAGTGGTGTGTTCATAAACATGCACTGTCCCAACCAAACAAAGAATAAACATAAACATATTTATCAGTATAGTTTAATCTCTGTCATTGATTTTTTTCCTGGCAAAGATCCTCCAATTGGTAGAAGTAAAGAAGGTGTTTGACCCTTCCCATTTCAAAACTATTGTTAGATTTAGTTATAAAACAAGCCACATCCCTCTATATATAAGCGGTCATAATTGTTACAGTAGTAGTTATGACATGACTGTATTTGACCCTCTCTTGGCTCTATATATCTTATATTGGCTTAATTTCTCATTTTCTCTCTCTGTTTTACACTCAAGCTGTTAGACAAATATGTGTGTTTTTTGTTTTAACAGCGCCATGATTCTTGGAAAGCAATTACAAATTTCAATTGTTTTTTTTTTTTACAAAGTTGTGTACAAACATGCAAAGGAAAGTAAGGATTACCAAAGCTATGTTGATCAAAAGGGAAAGTTATAAGAATCCAATTTCACTCATGCCATGATTGTGAATGGTCAAAATACATTATTGTAAGTGTATATAGATCATACACAATCAAGCATTTGGAGTTTCCCTGTGTATGAGCTGTTCTATACAAATAAACGTGCCTTGCCTAGTTTATGTAACTCAACCCAGTTATCAAAACCATCAACATCTTCATACCTTTAACGTTGTCTGCATAATTTTGATTGTTGAGTGAGTTGCGTCAGATCAACTCATAAAAACAAACCAGTCGACAGTTCTAAAATTACACAAACTCTCTGGCTGGGCGTCTGCTCTTCCTGCTCGGGTTTCACACCATCTAAAACTCATTACAGACTGATTCCACTTTTCACTATGATTCAATTTGCCATAATTACTGTGACGCGGGCTAATAAAAAAGGAACGAGAGCGTGCGTGGCTATAGCGATCGGAGCGAAGGTCAACCGGCAGTTATTCCTCTCTGCGTATTCATCTGGGGCAGCTAATGGCCCAATTTTCTACCCCTCCATCCTCGATAAATATTGCCGGAATTACAGGTTAAATAGCTAAATTAAATCACGGTGATTACGGATATGGGAGGGAGACGGACGAGCGGGAGGAGACGATGTTAGCGGATCTGTACAATTACACACGCGCCGCCGCACCACGCAAATGACGTGGTTAATGCGGCGAGTGGCACTGGGATATTGTGGAAAGGTGGGCTTCATTTTGTGATGTCAAAGCCCCTAAATAAACCGGAATATACTGAATTATTTGGAACTAAGACCATGTCAAACTG